TTTAATAAGGCTTTAGCTGAGTGTTTAAACTAGGACATAAGGGAAAGATGACAGAAACCAAAGAGCACATAATTTAGACAGAACTTAGATCAAGGAAGTAGGTAATACAAAAATCTGTATCCAGTGAAAGGAAGGACCCAAAACAAACCAGGCCAGGAAAAGATCACAAGAAGCGTGTAGGCCATCAGCAAAGTATAAGGAGGTAAATGACCAAGGCATCTGTTAAAAAGTGAAAGTGAGGTCTATGTACAAATGCAAGAAGCTTAAAAGCAATATTAAAATGCCTGGCAATGGCAGAGGCCTTTCATATAATAAGCATTACTGAAACATGACATCAGTTAGGTTAAGACTTCACTATGAATTACACAGAAAAGATAAGACTATACCAAAGAGGTGGCCAAACAGCACATTATTTAAAAGATTCAATTGAATCCAATGAGAAGTACTGAATGGAGAACACCACGTGGCTGAATGTGGATGGATACAAAGCTTCTGCAGTCAGATGTAAATATATTAGGAGGGCTACACTAATAGTTTGACTCAAAATGATGAGCACACACTACTCAGAGGTCAAACTACCAGCCAAGGCTAGGACATCGCTGGGGGAACTGGTCCAATGGCACAACAGGACAAAGTTTTGTTTGAAGAAGTAATCATTAACATTGTTTCTCTAAACAACCAGTTCTAAAAACACACAAGAGGCGAGGCTTTCTTCAATTCAGTCTTATGCACAACAGAATAGCTACTGTTAGACTCACTTTTGAGAATTATGAAACAGTGACCACAATATACAGTAGTTAAGTTCAACTTCTTAAGGGGAAATAAGATTCCAGAAATTGGTACAGTAACTCTAAACTTTAGAAAGGGAGATTTCAATATGGAAAGAGCTAGTCAAAGGTACTAAAGTAAAATTCTTGGACTATCTTATGTTTTTCTTAAGTCAAATCCATACCACATTTAAGGAGGCATGCACACTACTAAGCAAAAAAGAGACAGCCACACAAGAAATATATAACTAAAAGGCAAGATTGAAAAAGTTATTCAAGAAAAACAGATCTTTCAACATTTGGAAATCAAATCCTAATGAAGCTAACAAACAGAAACATAAGTTACAGCAGGCAATAAGATATCTCAGAGGGAAGTTAGGAGGTATAAAATAGATTCTGAAGAGTAAACAGCGAACACTATAAAAGAAACAAGGAATTCTTTAAATATATCAGAAGCAAGGAACCTGCAAAAGAATCAGTGCATCTGCTGGGTCAGTATGGGTTAAAATTAAGGACAATAAGCACCTAGCTGCAAAGCTAAATGTTACGGGTTGTTTTGTTGTGTGTGGGTCTTCACCACAGACGATGTTAGGGAATTACCTACCCAAAACTCCTCTTTGTTGGTTAATAAAGAGGACCTGGAACAAACTGATCCAGATTATATGTATCCAAGAGTTTTGAAGGAGTTCATCTGTGAAATGACTGAGTTATTAGCAAAGATGTCATTAGAAATTATTTCTATGCCACAGGAGTGGTAAAGTAGCAAGTGTTGTATCTGTATTTTAAAAAGTCTCTGAGGGTATTCCAGGGAATTGCAGAGCAATAAATCTTACATCTTTACCTAATCAACTAGTTAAAATGATAGTTAAAAAAAATTCACAATGAGCACATTATTATGGTAAGGTAGGGTCTAACCAGTATGGTTTCTGCAAAGGAAAATCATGCCTCACTAATCTGGTAGAATTATTTTAATGTGTCAATGTAGTATATAAAATAGTAACTGCTGATAATGTAGACTTTCAAAAAGTATTTGACAAGGTCTCTCACAAGAGACTATTATATAGGTATGACGTGACAAGCAAAGTATTGCAAGATACAAACAGAAAACTGAATAGATTCAGAGAACACCCTCAGTGTAGCTAAAGTTCTATCATTTTACCTGATCAGGCTGAAGTCATTCAGGAGCAACCCTAGGCTACTTCTTGTGTGGAAGACAGAATAAGGGATCAAGCAATGCCTACCTAAATGCTGTGTTAATGGATGCTTACTTGTATTAAATCTTGCTATGAGTTTAAACCCACAGTTTAAAGTCCACCAGGGGTCAAACAGCTTCTGCAGCTTCCCACGAAAGCATACCAATCTCTGAAAACTGCAGGGCAGCTACACTGTGATCTGTCCACACTTCTACACCATATTATTCCCTAGCCACAGCATTAAGATCCAATGTCTGGTTTGGCAGAAATTCAAATAAATTGAGCACCCATCTCCAACCTACAAAATCATTGCTTTTGAGTCATTAGAAGTGGAATACATGCAAACATTCACTCAAAAGAAAATGACGGTGGGTTGTTACTTCAAACAACCTAAGTTCCCCATCCCAGGGTGGGATATGCTTCGTCCATGCAGTAAGAGATAGGAATACCAATTTTGGAAGAATTCGTTTTCATGTATGTGTTGTCTGAACTTGACAGGTACTTTATTACCAGTCAATGTTATAATATTCTCATTCTGAGATAAGCATATGGAAGAATATATTACTGAAACCATAAGGCCTATCACTCTGAGGAAGAATATTACAGTTGGTTGGAATTATCTTCATGTTTGAGAATGGCAGACTTGCCTCTTGAAGGAAAACCTTTCTTGTTTGAAATCTACACATCACCCAGACAAAAAAAACTTTCTGTATAAGAAGGTAAGATTTCTTTCAATTTATTCCGAGTCCCACTTTCTCAAAAAGTAAACATGTACGATGACTTCTGTAAGGCCTTTGTGAGCCAGTTATACAAATAGGGGTAAATCTAAATAGTCTGACACTTCCAATGCACTGCCAAATTCACTGCTGGATTGGACCACATTGTTCTGGCAGGTTGTAAAAGTCCTTTTAATACTGGTAGAACAATCTTGGAATTAGAAGGGTTCCCAGAATATCAAAGTCAAGATGAGTGATAAAAGATTATTTCCACAGAAACTGACGTTAAGTAGAAGCCCTTCTGGATACCATCTCATGAAATTTTATGGCATATTCAGACAGGGAAGATGCTGCAGCAATTCCACTGTCATCTGGGGATGTCTGGTCACTAGGCTTTAGATCAATGTCCTGAAATTCCACAACTCATAGGTGGTTATTCTGATAAAATGTCTGGGACAATCAAAGGATAGCATTCCAGAGAACCGGATCTGGTGAATGGGGCTTCCCCTGAGGTCTTGGGGGGAATGACTCCTCTATAAAGGCTATTCTCAACCTCTGTATAGTATCTCAAAGAAAGCCAGTAGACCCATCCAGACCAAGGAGGAAACTGAAAGACACCAGAATCAGGTTCTCTGTCATAGAACCTACCAGGATATAGGCAGAGCCTGTGTCTGTTTGGACTATGTAGAGCATTGGTCTAATGTCTACTCTAAAATGTTTTTTTGCCAGGTGACTGGAACTGAGGTGGTAGAATAACTTGCCTGTCCCTATCTGACAAATCAGACCTCAGATCAGAAGCAGAAGATATTGGTGAAATGAAAGGTCTTGGCAACTTTAAAACTGAAAGGGAGAAGTAAACTTCCCTTGTGAGTTCACGGAGATTTAGGAGATAAAAGCACATTTGAATATGCTATACAATCTTTTATTTCTCTCCACCTTGTATCACCTGTATCTTTCCCTTCTGGAGATACTGTAGTCCAAGTATCTTCTGGATCAGTTACTATTGGCTACTGTTAGTTGGCGCTGGGGTGTAGAAGTTCTAAGATCCTAAGAAATGTAAATAAATAATTATATTGTTTTGTTCAAAGTTTTTAATCCTAGCTAGCTAACTATGACTAAAACTACCTGAAGATGCTGTCTTGCTTGAAGAGGTTGTTCTGGAGAGGTTCTAATATAGACCATTCACAACCTTGGCTGGAATGAACTGAGGTGTCCTGAGTGCCATGCTTTTACATAGGCTCATCCTCAGAATGCTCAAACCGGTGAGGGAAAATGCAGGAGAGCACTCCAACAGGCACTGCTAGAAAACATTCCACCACTCAAGATGCACCAAGGGCACAAACCCAAGAGTGGGAACATGTAGAGGCCATTCAAAGAGCGGCAAATTATTGCAACAAAATGATCTTTCAAGTTGCTTTTGTTAGAATTTTTCCATATATGAAAACTTTTGTTTAATACTGAAAGAATCAAACTTATTGGGTTTTTAAAATATTTTGAGTAACCTACATAGCGTGATTTAAACTGTATAAGAAAAACTTACATTGCTTGTAGTTATTATTAAAATTAAATTAATCCAGATATTTTCTATTTCTTTATAACCTTGCTGTAATGGACACACTACAAATATCACTGAATTCATTTCAATATGCATATTTAAACAGAAAGCCAACTGCCACCACAATGACTTTGTAATTAATAATTTTGTAAATGAATATTCTAGAACCATCACTAACATAAGTAATGGGTCACCTACCTCTTTGTGGCATTATGAAATGTCTGTCTGGATGAGTAATGACTACCATTGTACCACACCTAAAGGCAAGTGAAGCCTCTTTAATACCAGAAGATACAAGCAGGTGAAGTACTTATAAAGCAATGGAAAACATTTATTTATCAACACTTTAATCAACTTCCCCAGAAGCTTAATTCTTGCCCAAAATGGGTGACAACGAAACAATCTCACTTGGTGTTCCTTTACAATGCAGCATCTCTAAAAAGATCATGGTCCAGATGATTGTCTCAGGTGATTGTAGTAGGGTAATAATACAGGAACTATAGTGTTTTAAATACTACAGAGACTTGCATCCTTACAAACATTTTTCAGAGGCTTCAGAATAATGGAGATGCTCCTGTAGTACTGTTTGAGTATACTCAAGTACAAGAATTAAAACCTTCTGAAAGCTTGTGTACCATTTAGTGAAGGAAATGGAACACAAAAAAAACACTATTTCCCCCAAAAATACAAAAAGGAAGGGTGAACAAAGCACCACAAAACTCATGACATGTTAGATTTCTCATCTCATGATCATCATCAAAATTCATAGTTACCAAGTAGAAAATTTTATTCCTTTATGTCCCAAGTACATCCTACATGTAATGATGCCCATTGAAAGGAATGGGAGGGGAAGGACTGAGAAGGAAAATAACTAAACTAAACACAGAACTGAAATTAGTTTTATAAACAGAATTCTCAGTGTCAAGTTATTAGAAACAACTTACAAAATGTATAGAACAATGCTCAGAATATAAATAACTGATAGTTGGCATGATAGATAAGAAACAGAACTGAGCGAATACAGTCTGTAGTACAATTCATTCCTTGGCTCTGGATTGTTTACAAGTAAAAATACAATATTTCAAACTGAAACAACCATGTAACAGTTATTGAGGTAGCTTATGAGTTTTCCAGAGAAATTAAAGTAATTGACTGTATATCACAAAATGGTCCATAACGTCCACATACATCTTTTGATTGTATAGTAAAGTAGTACTTCTTGGAGGCTGTAAATTGTGATAAAGAACAAGCCATTGGTAGGGGCAAAGCCTTTATTTCTCCTATTTTCTTCCAGTGTGGTACAGTACTGTTATTGGAGTGTTCATGGTATATGAACAAGTGATAGCTCTCTACAGGAGCGCACATGGGATCAATCTCTGTAACAGTCCATGAGAGTGCAATACCTTTTGGATTTTGCACCTGAGCCAGTTTCAGTTCAGGCTTCTGAGGTGGCACAGTGTCTCTGACTCCATCCTTGAGTTCTGGGTATGGAGGTATCCTTGGTAGCGGAGGAAGATGTGGAAAATGTTCAAGAACCTACGGAGCATAAAAAAAGAAAAAAAGGTGAATAACTTAGCATTACTGTAATATTTCTTTAATGAACAAATCAACCAATGTGCGCTAACTTTTGATTCAGATTAAGTGTTTCCATTTTAGGAAACAGTTTTGAAAGTGTTAAGGAGTTCATTGTAACAGCTTTACCAAACAAGTTTTTTTGTATTGTGGTAAATAATGCTGCATTAGTTTCATTTTAGGTATTTATTAGTTCAGTAGTTCTTAGAATGACTGTATGGATAAGAATACTAAATTCAAACCAACAATAGTATTTTGTTAAATTGTTTTGTTTTCTGGTATGTCATGCTGCAATGCTTTATTTACTGAATTTATATTACTTTACCACTTTTTAAAAAACCCTTCCAAAGACTCCCTCTAAACTAGCCCTATTTTACAGTCTCTAAGAGGTCAACAGACAAGAACAGTCACAGGAAATGATCTATTGCTGCTACATAAATGTTTAAGTTTTGCTAACTGATTTTATTTTCCATAAATCCAATACTCCTCCCCCTCCCCCCCCCGACACAAAAGCGCAGAAGACACTACTAACAAACATTGTGTTAAGATTATTTTTGGTTGTCCCAAAATGAGTGTTGCAGAGGTCAACATTATATCTAGATAGATTTGCATAGTCACAATTCAATGAGTGTTCTGTTATTGCACTCTGATAAATTTTCCAAAAAATACCTACAGATTCAGGCAGGCAGCAGCACATCCATAGTACTGAAAGGTTTTAAAAAAGTTAACTTTACCAATATGAATAATACTGTAGGTATCTTGATCAAGTTTAATTATTATTAGTGAATTTTGACAACCATCCTATAATCGGATTGTTCTGTACAGATATCATACAATGTAAGATGCTGAAAGAAAGAGCTTATGTTCCTATCTCACTAGCAATTACCAGAGCAGAAAGCTTGCACTCTATGTAGGTCTTCAAAAAGAAAGAAAAGTTAAACTGACAGATCTTTAAAAACTGCTGCTTAGATTTTATCTCAGAAGAAATCCAAGAAGGCAGCTGTGAAGAGAGTGTCAGCTATTTTAGAAGGTTTATTCTGGTTTCATATCCTTTTGAACATCCAGAAGGACAGAATAAAAAGCAGAACTGACATAGTGGTTCCACCCTCCTCATAGTACTAGAGTCAGTTACAAAAAAATCCCAAACCACAGAACTGTCTTTTCTCCCTGTACATTTTTCTTTTTGATAGTTAATTATCTCTGAGGATACACTGTAGACAGGTCTGTACATCTATTAACAAAATATTTTAGGCTGAGAACAATTTACTGCTCCTGGAAGCATCTGTACTGATCCACTAAAGAGTTATAGTCCTGACAGGTCACAAGATAGATCATAAAATCCTGTTTCTACATTTGGTTTTACACTTTTAGCATAAGGCATGCAAAAATTTCTTGGGTGGATAGAAACAGATTTTTCTCACACCCGGATGTTCCCTGGCAGTAGTCAATCCCTTCTCTCCCATCATCAAGCTCTTCCAAGAATCACAACTCCCCTTTTTCTTTCCCATGATGCTTCCTTAGAAGGATCCTGGCCAATCTCTTTGAGGTGAAAAAGACACAAAAATGATTGGAGTCACCCCTTCACCGTGTGCTGGCAACTTCTGCAGATACCACTCTCCCATTGTTGGATCATATTAAAGTAGTTCTGTATTAAAATCACAAATGAGTTTGATTCCCCATAGTTTAAATTCCAGGGTATTACTAATTAAGAGGACTTGTGGCACATTAGAGACTAACTAATTTATTGGAGCATAAGCTTTCGTGAGCTACAGCTCACTTCATCGGACGCATTCAGTGGAAAATACAGTGGGGAGATTTATATACATAGAGAACATGAAACAATGGGTGTCACCATACACACTGTAACCAGAGTGATCACTTAAGGTGAGCTATTACCAGCAGGAGAGAGGGTGGGGGGACCTTTGTAGTGATAATCAAGGTGGGCCATATCCAGCAGTGGGGGGTGGGGGTGGGGGATTAAACATGCAGAAATAGTTTACTCATTATTACACAAAGTAGAACTATTTCCCCATGTTTATTCCCCCCCAAGTGATAGCTCTCTACAGGAGCGCACATGGGATCAATTTCTATAACAGTCCATGGGAGTGCAATACCTTTTGGATTTTGCACCTGAGCCAGTTTTAGTTCAGGCTTCTGAGGTGGCACAGTGTCTCTGACTCCCCCCTCCCTCCCAAACTGTTCCTCAGACATTCTTGTCAACTGCTGGAAAGGGCTCACCTTGATTATCACTACAAACGGTCACCCCCCGCCACCCTCCAGGCTCTCCTGCTGGTAATAGCTCACCTTAAGTGATCACTCTGGTTACAGTGTGTATGGTGGTACCCATTGTTTCATGTTCTCTATGTATATAAATCTCCCCACTGTATTTTCCACTGAATGCATCCGATGAAGTGAGCTGTAGCTCACGAAAGCTTATGCTCAAATAAATTTGTTAGTCTCTAAGGTGCCACAAGTACTCCTTTTCTTTTTGCGAATACAGACTAACACGGCTGCTACTCAAACTAATTAAGAGCTCTCTTGGTTTTTGGTATTGTTTCTCTCCCTCTGTGTGTGAAACTTGCAAGTTGCTAATTGTGTTAGTACATTCTAAGACAGAGTCTGTTCTCAAAGCAATTCTTTGTAACAATAACTACTCACACAGAGAGAGACTCAAAACAATACTCTGTAACAGAAACAGCAACCAGAGACTCCCCGCCCTTTTGTTGTATTCATCTCGCTTTGTTAACAATTGTGATTAAAATAGAGATAGAGGATGTATGTGGATGGATGCTTGGTGTGGATAATAACTGAATGATCAGGGAGGTGCCAGCCTAAGAATCCAGTGTCCATCGACTAAAGAAGGCGTCAAGTGGAAATAACCAGAGGACCCCCGGAGGGCAGACTGGAATCCACCCAACAGCCTCAAGAATGGGAGAACCAAAGAACAAGATAACATCTGGCAGCACGGAGCCGTCAGGAATGTGCCATCTGCTGATTGATTCAGCAACAGCATGATGAAGCAATTCCCATAGACTGGCATAGGAAGAAATTCCTATAAAAAATGGACTCTAGAAAGTGAGAACTTTGGGGTCTGATTCTGCAAACCAACTTCCAGGAGCATCAGATGAGCATCTGACAAGGCCCTGCTCCCTCCTCATGTCCAGGCCACCTGGCCAGTGGCTTGGCATGAGCAACTCTAAGGCTGGTAACTATGATAACAACCTTGCAGAACCTGTGTGTGTGTATGAATGAATGTGTGAATAAATATGAGATTGAATGGAATGTTATAGCTATAACTAACTGCTTACTATGATTCTTTCTGTATTCACAATAAATGTGGCATTTTGCCTTTTCTCCTTTACTAAGATCCTGCTGGTTTTTATTTTGTTGGTATAACACCATGGCTCCCAGCCCTAACCCAATGGAAAGCTCTGCAAGTCATACAAATCACTTTCTCAAAAGCAGGGACATCATTTCAGAAAAATTCAAGGGAGCAAAGCTGTGTCAGCCTATACAATACTATATGTGACGAATGTGACACTGCACTCCATATTCTTCATAGTGATATTATAAGTCATGGGAGGTGTCATTGGAAAAGTTATGATTTGCTAAATATGATTATCCTATTTGTATGCATGTATCATTTTTGTATCTGAAGTTATTAATATTGGCTATGTATTTGTATTTCAAATGTAGTTACACCTGGGTAACGTCCACTAGACAAGATGCTTTCAGTCTAGATAGTGGGTGGGGAAGGACCTATTCAGGGCAATGGGCCATTCTGGAAAAAAACAATAGGCCTTAGGAGAAGCTTATCTCCCACCCGGGGAGCTTTCCTGAAAACGCTACAGACAGCCTCCAAGTCATGGCTGCTTTGACTCTACAAGGACATGTGATATTCATAGATATTCATAGATATTTAGGCCAGAAGGGACCATTATGATCATCTAGTCTGACCTCCTGGACAATGCAGGCCACAGAATTTCACCCACCACTCCTAAAAAAGACCTCACACCTATATCTGTGCTATTGAAGTCCTCAAATTGTAGTTTGAAGACCTCAAGGAGCAGAGAATCCTCCAGCAAGTGACCCGTGCCCCATGCTACAGAGGAAGGCGAAAAACCTCCAGGGCCTTCCAATCTACCCTGGAGGAAAATTCCTTCCCGACCCCAAATATGGCGATCAGCTAAACCCTGAGCATATGGGCAAGATTCATCAGCCAGATACTACAGAAAATTCTTTCCCGGGTAACTTGGATCTTACCCCATCTAAAAACCCATCACAGGCCATTGGGCCTATTTACCATGAACATTTAATTACCAAAACCATGTTATCCCATCATACCATCTCCTCCATAAACTTATCGAGTTTAATCTTAAAGCAAGATAGATCTTTTGCCCCCACTACTTCCCTCGGAAGGCTATTCCAAAACTTCACTCCTCTGATGGTTAGAAACCTTCGTCTAATTTCTAATCTAAATTTCCTAGTGGCCAGTTTATATCCATTTGTTCTTGTGTCCACATTGGTACTGAGTTTAAATAATTCCTCTCCCTCTCTGATATATTTATAGAGAGCAATCATAGCTCCCCTCAACCTTCTTTTAGTTAGGCTAAACAAGCCAAGCTCCCTGAGTCTCCTTTCATAAGACAAGTTTTCCATTCCTCGGATCATCCCAGTAGCCCTTCTCTGTACCTGTTCCAGTTTGAATTCATCCTTCTTAAACATGGGAGACCAGAACTGCACACAGTATTCCAGGTGAGGTCTCACCAGTGCCTTATATAACGGTACTAAAACCTCCTTATCCCTACTGGAAATACCTCTCCTGATGCATCCCAAGATGACATTAGCTTTTTTCACAGCCATATCACATTGGCAGCTCATAGTCATCCTATGATCAACCAATACTCCAAGGTCCTTTTCCTCCTCCGTTACTTCTAGTTGATGTGTCCCTAGCTTATAACTAAATTTCTTGTTATTAATCCCTAAATGCATGACCTTACACTTCTCACTATTAAATTTCATCCTATTCCTATTACTCCAGTTTACAAGGTCATCCAGATCCTCCTGTAGGGCATCCCTGTCCTTCTCTAAATTAGCAATACCTCCCAGCTTTGATGACACCACATGTCTCTGGATTCCATCTTGGGATGTCAGGTTTTTTCCACAGACTATTCTGGGAACCAAGCTTTGGGAACAAAGAGATCCTGCCATATGCAAAAGCTATATAAGACAAGGAGTGACATCATCTGGTGTTCTTCACTCGCCACCCAAGGAGACTCCTAAAAACACCTGTGGAACAAAGACTGAACTGCTGGAAGTGCTGGAAGTGCTGGACCCAGGCTAAAGGGATTTCTAGTCTGTGAATGAAACACCTGGGGATTCCAAGCTGTAAAGCAAGTGCAGCTTGCCCCTTAAGAATCTGAAGCCTACTTGTATCATCTCTTAGAGAATCTGCTAGTCATATCCAATCTATTTAGTATATTAAACTTAGTTTGCATTTTTTGTCTATTTGCTCAGTAATCTGCTTTGATCTGCTCGCTATCACTTAAAACCTATCTTTTGTAGTTAATCAGCTTGTTTTTGCTTTATCTAAACCAGTGAGTTGGAGTGAAGTGAAGTGTGTGGGAATCATAACTCAGGGAGAAAAGCTGTACTGCAGTTCCAGGTACCCTGGGTGGAATCAATCACAATTATTATGTAATATTCTAAAAAATTGGTGGTGGGGGGGGGGCGGACGGACAAAAAGATAAGAGATATAATGGAGCATATAGACCTATGAAAAGCTATAGGGGTTGGGGGGGGGAGGGAGAAAGAGGCAACTGCCACTACTGTCCCATAACAAATGATGCTCCTGTCCAAGAAGGGAGAGCTCCATCCAGAGTTATATTTTCAGTCTCAGTGCTCAGAAGCCATCCCCAAACCCTTTAATGGAACTGAACTAATATTAATTATTTGTTTCAAGGTAGTGGGCAGAATATGCTAGGCATAAACACAAAAGGCGACAGTACCCATCCTGAAGAGCCTGCACTCTACAGAGCAAGGCTCTTTTTCATCCATAATGTGATGCTGCAGTCAGGGAGAGGCTCCAGCCTCTCACTTGTCATGCTTCTTGTCCTGCTGCTGTGTGGGTTGCCTATAGATATTAGATAGTTTTGTCTCAGAGCTGGGATGGATGGGTGGGTGGCAGATGCTCAAATGTTAGTAGGAGGTAAGAAGAAACTGATGTCCCTTGTTGATGACACTTTGATCGGTCTTGCCATTACAAAACTGAAGGTGCTGTTGTGTGGTATATCCTTTATAGTGGCACATCCAGGGCTCAAACTGGGCTAGTATGCAGCAGTATGATATACCAGCTCCTCTCCCAAGTTGCTATTATATATATAATTTAAGAGACGAGTTAGCGGTTACGGTTGAAGAGAAACTTGAAAACGTGAATTAACCAGAACAGTGACACCTACCTAACTGTGTCTGGAATAACAGCTCCAAGAAATGTGAGGTGACGCATAAATCTCAGTGGGATGTTAACTCACATGCCCAATCATGATACTTTAAAGTAAATATGCCATTGCTAATTAAAGCATGCAAGATAGAAGAATGGGGTGGGAGTACAGACTGCAGATCTGCACTATCCACAGTAAATGATCTCTCATTTTGGTACCATGAGTGGGTGATGTTTTAGAGATGCCATTGCGTTCTTTTTATTTGTTTTTTTGGTCCTCAGTCAAGGAGGAGCCGAGCACAAGAAGCACCACAGAACCTAGCAAGGCACATGAGCCCCACCACGGCTAAGCAGCCTAGTAGAACCCAATGGAATATTCAAATACCTCAAATATGAGACAAACTCATGGACCCGAGAGACCACACATGATCATGTTTTGAACACTTGCACAATTGATTGTGAACAGTGCCTCATTCTGGCAACTCACAGGAGTGCAACTTATTTGTGGATGGAACAGTAATAAAACATGCACACTTAGATACTTGATGTTTAAATTACTGCTCCCTCATTCTCGCACTCATTTTAGACACTGGAGCAGGACTGAACACAGAGAGTCTTGGACCACCGATGGCTGAAATTTTCAAACCCCTTTTCACTTGCTCAATTTCAGAAAGGTTTTTTCCCCCCTTGACTGAAATTTTCCTTGCTGGTCTTTGCCCCACGACAAATTTTCTACTGCAACATTTTCTACAATATTTTTTAGAAAAGTTCATTTTAACCTGCCTATCTGATTCATTCTCTTGCTTCAATATTGCTTCTTCTAATAGTTAGTATTTTTATTAGAAATCGCTGCCATTTTAGGAGCCATTATTGCAATAAAAGTATTTCATGGTCACTGAAGTCTTTATTACTCTTTTCTTTATACTGTACTACCTCCTTGTGGCTCAAAGGAGTAAGCTTACCCTTTGCCAAGGAATCTAGTTTAAAACAAATGTAATGATACATTTTCATCAAAAATGTCCTTTAAAAATCTGTTTTAATTCCCATTAAGTTGTATATCATAGATTCATGAAAAGCTAGTCAGTTGGAATTTGTAAACACTACAAATTTAAAAATAAAAATTGTAGAAAGCTTAATAAAGAAAAAAATTACCCGATTTGATGCTTGTGCTGGTGGCTCAAGGCAATTTGATTTGGGGCTTGCTGTCTTTGAATTACTTTTGTTTGACACAGAATTCTGGTCTTCTTTTAACTTACCTGTAAACAAAATGCAAGTTTTAAATACTGTAATTTACCACCTATTGAAAGTGAACTGGGTTAAAAGCCACAAATCTGTGAAATAAGGTTATGTTTACATACTGAGGATTTCTCAGAGACTGTGAAAGGTGCTAGACTGAGGACCCTGGAGAATGAAATCTCTATTTTTCTACAAAACATACATGCAGCAGAGTTATTCACACTGTTAAAGTGCTTCAGCCAGACGTGTACGGGCTATCATTAAGTGAGAGTAAGAGGGATAGTTCAGTCTTCATTTCATTTAATTGTCCATCTTGATATTTTACATCTTGATCAAAACAGAATTAGGTAAGTTAACGGAGGATCGGTGTATCAATGGCTGTTAGCCAAGATGGTCAAGGATGCAACCCGAAGCTCTGGGTGTCCCTTAACCTCTGATTGCTAGAAGCTGGGAGTGGAGGACAGGGACGGATCACTTGATAAATTGATCGGTTCTGTTAATTTCCTCTGAAGTATCTGGCACTGGCCACTGTCGGAAAACAAGATAGTGGGCTAGATGGACCATTGCTCTGACCCAGTATAGCCACTCCTATGCTCTTATTTATTGTTCACACTGGAGGCAGATGACCAACTCAGTTAACAGAGTTTTAGCTGAACATCTGACTAATATCTTACACTAAATACAACATCTTCATTCATTCCAAAATGATCTCTGAGTTTCACGTATTTTACAAACTACTACACTAAATACCCACCACTAAAATGCAACATTGTCTTGGTGGGATGCAAGAGCCTTTTAACAGCACAGGAACACTAACGTGGCAGTTTAGAAGAAGAATATAACAAAAAAGAAACCAGTTATCTGCAGGAAGAATTTAGGAAGTAATAACTTATTTATTCCAGGATACTGCCCAACACCCATTCTACTGCAAAAAAGTGGCATGTGATCTTAAATTACTACAAAGATTCTGATCCAGTTTTAAAATTCATACAAAACACAAAATTAACAACAGCACAGTACTTTTTAACTCCAGGATAGAGCATTAGTTCTGTACACACTGAGATGGAAGAAGGCAACCTACCAAGCCAGCCACTAATACTATTTCCTGCAGCACCCTGAGTTCTCCCATCCAGGTCTTGACCTAGAACAAATCCTGCTTAGTTTACAAAAATTAATGAGATTACAAATCACCTCAAGGCAGTATATCGCCAAGTAACAATTTCCACTGAAACCAAATTACTTGAGTTCAAATCCTGAAGTTGGACAATTGCATATGATTTATAGCAAAAGGAATGTTACTTACCAGCAACTAGAGTTCTCCAAACATGTGACCCATGAAAGTCCATATTAATCTCCCTGTCTTTGGTTACTACACTTCCTCCTCACCTAAACATAAAACAAACACTCTGCACCTAATTTGGGGTCTTCTCATTGCAGGAGCAGTGGTAGGCAAGTAGCCAACTCATTCTGTGCTGGGGAGCAAGTCTTCACCCACAGATGGATGAGGAACAGGAGTCTCTCCTCATTATGGGGAATATTTAAGATTTATAGGCAAGAAGGCAAATCAGGCTGTATTGTGACTAACTGGCTTTGAGTTCCTGGCTCCTATTTCAGTTGTTAGGCAGGTGGGAAGAGATTGGTCAGCTGCAGCCTTCAATCTTAGTGAAACACCAATTAATGAATGGCATCTGCTTGCAGCATTGGAGAGAGGGACTAGGAACAATTGTAGTAGCAGGTCTAATATCATTACAGTGGGACACTGGATCCATGAGTCAATAAGCATACATCCCTTAAAAAACAAACTACTTTAGAACTGTTCTTGAATTGCAAGGTACTCTACTGCAGTGAAGATATGCAGAAGCAGTTCCCTTCAGGAGAAAGTTTTTTTCTTTTAAGGAATGGGTCCCAATCTCACAACTCCACAAGATTATTTTCTCTTAGGTTTAAAATTGATTTGATTTAGTACTTTTTCATACTTACACTTATTACATTTTAAGTTCTCATTTTCAGAATCTCTATAAACAAAATTATTTTTTCCTTCACCTTTATCAAAATTGTGCTTTTCTTCTTCTGTTAGATCAATCACTGCACATTTTTGTTCTTCAGCACGCTGTAAAAACAATGTCAATTCCAATTAAATTGTTTCTACAATGGCTTAATTGTAAATACGTCTGTTAAAATTTATGAACTGTCAGGATGCAAACTTACTTGTAAATTAAACTACCAGAAATGCTCATTTTTATATAAAACTTCTTGTAGATGTGAAAAATAACAGAACTAAGTACAGTGTATAAGTGTCAGTATCCGTAAGAACTCAGACATTTAAAAATACACTTGATATATCACAGTAGATCACCTAGCCAATCAGTCAACAGTACGAGGACAAAAACTATAAAAGATGGATTTTATAAACACAAATTTTTTTTGTTAATGGATCCATTAATGGATCTCAATGATAATTATACAGGTCTTGGCTCTCTAAGAGCAAATCTACATAGACAGTTTTTCACTAGTTTCCTTCCAGGTAGGTATGCTTTAGGATAAGTTTTCACACAGCTTGCCAATGCACAAGACTGACAGTAAGCTTCTTATTTCTAGAGCTGTCTGAAATAAAGCCTTTTTGCCCTCTTGCTAAGGGAAGATGTAGAATTGTTTATTATTTTATTCAATACAGTAATTCAGTTGTAAACTTAAGGAATCATTTAATATAACTGAACAAGTGTTTGTATAATGGTTGTATATAGATTTTAAACAATTAGATCTTATATACACTATCCCTCCCCCCCCTAATTCCTGCAGTTGCTCCAATTGATGTAGTTCCACCATTGGTAGCAGAAGTGTAGTGGGAAGAGAGCAGTTTTTCCACCACCATCTTGTCTAAATATTCCCAAGCAGGCTTATACTAACTACATGGTAGTAGAAATCCCAGGTGCCCCGTATATACCAGTGTTTGCACTTTTGCTACCACCAGTGAAATCCCACTTTTCATTAACCAAAACAGGGATTTTTATTTTATCTTTTTTATTTTATTTTACTGGGGGGAGGGGGAAAGGAAGGCAAGACAGGAAGCTTTGTGTGTAGACTGACCATTTAAGTGATTTAGAACAATTTGGACACAGACCATCTAAAAAATGGATATAATTTTAACATGTTCTGTTGCTAAAGTCTAACCAAAAGCTTAGCCTGCTTACATTATATATACACAAACTGGTTTATATAAAAATATTCTCAGACTTGAAATAAATTAAAAAAGTGCTGTTTTGAATAGCATTTTCAAACTATGTTATGTGAAAGACTGGGTGTAACATTTAATCTACATTTTGAAAAGTCAATGTTAAATTAAACTCTTCAGCAATAAACCCAACCTAAAGTACTTCTGTACACAGTGGGGAAATGCACTCTAACGAGATGCGATTTCTAAAGTGCACTAATGTACTGATTAATTGGTCCACACGCACCCCGCTGGTACACACTAAAGGTTCTCTAGTGTGCTTTAACGTGTTTCAAATGGCACTATGTTAAAGAGCATTAAGAAATCTTTAGTGTGCAACAGCAGAATCTACACTGACCAATTAATGTGTACCACATTAGTGCACTTTAGAAATCACACTCATATAATGCACATTGCCACACCATGTAGAAAAGCTCTTAGTGTGTTGTAAGTGAATACCAGATAAGCTTATTAACCATTGGAATAGAAGTATACAAATGACATGATCCAACTGTACTAGTGTAGCAAAAACATCCACACAAAAAAATGGCTACGGTGAAGTTAAGGTTGAGACTATATATCAGTAATGTAAGAGTTAAAGTCCTTATGTTAATGTTTTTGAAGAATAAGTCCACAAGTCTGCTTTAGACTTTAGAGACCACTCTTGTTGACCTTATCTTGGCAAATTATATGGTTTCCTAGCCCAAATTTTGCCTGCAAGATGAGAGCCTTTTGTTGGGTCACCAGTCCCATAGGAACACAGACTCCTGACAAAGTGTTTGGGATTGAACCTCACCTTGCTTCTCAAAAGGGAACAAAATATGAAAATATTTAATACTTGTTACATACACACAAAAAGAGATGAAAAAATATTTCCATTGATGATCAAAATTTATAGACAGGAAAAGAAAAATGCTGCTTGAAAACTTAATACAGTTTGATTTAAAGATATTTACTTTGTATATATTGACATGTGATGTTGACAATTTGTGTTTTAATGATGGTAAAGCTTTAGCTTTTTGAATATCAGTGTCTACTGTCATTAAATTGTCAAATCCTCTCCACAAAAAAAAAAAAAAAGCTTTAAAAATAAACATCATTATCTATCAAAAATTATAAACAGCAGCTAATTCTGCCAAGTACACAGGAAGAGAGGAGGGTCTGCTTCCCTGATCTTTTCCTTCCCAAACTGCTTGTACAGCAGATCTCCTAAAAATTTCAAGAGTAGATATTCCATCTGATGAGCTTTGGGACTGTGTGTGTTTGGGTGGGTGAATCCAGGGTCCTTGGAAGAAAGGAAAGAGATGAGACACATATTTTCTGTGTGTTCTATAATCCACTCGATATTAAGGCTTATCTTTTTAAGGAATGCCAGAAGTGACTACCACAGTTATTTATTTTAGGGAATACATTCTGCTTTTAAAAAGGGACTTGTACATGATTATTTTAATTGGAATTGCACTTTATTTTGTTTCCTTCTGATGTATGAAGATGGCCTAAAAAAGTTCTGCTTATTTTTTCCACATTAGAAATATGAATAATGTCAAGCCTCGTTTTTTGCTTAGAGATATCAAAGTACGCTTATGGTGAGCTCTTACTTGAGGGATGGCGGTGCTGAATTTTTAAAAAGTTATCCTTTACCCAAACTATTATTCACTGAAGTTGAATAGGTGCTTACAAAAAAACCAAAAAGTTTTGGAACAGTGAGAAAAAAATCCCTTCTCCCTTTCATACGCTGAACTTTTCGGTCTCTTGTGATCTCATCATTTCACTAGTTCTCCAGATATTAAAGTCTTCCAGGGTAGACAAGAACTACAGAAAAGTAGAAGGTAGCACAAACCCAATATTATTTTCATTGCAGTTCACCTTTATGATGTGAAAATGAGGTAACACAGCAATGTGAACAACAGTACCTCCTTCAGCAAGGTGCAAAAGAGGAACCAGAATGTGCTGTATCTGCACAGAATGGTAAATGACCCGAAGTAACAAGCATCACTACCACAACATTGGAAAAAACAGGCTTTGTTTCATTATCTTATGTACAAACAATTAAATTTAGCTTTAAGTTTTAGCAGATGAGCACGAGGGAAAAAAAAAACTCTTAACCTACCTTGTTTTTGGATTGAGCTTCAGTGGAAATTTCTGCTTGTGTAGAAACTAATTTTTTTTGAACATCTGAAACAATTTTCACAAAAGATTAAAAAATTCAACTTTCAATTAATAAATCTGGTTGATGCAGGATACAAAAATGTCCATCTAATAAGTGGAATACCAAAAAATTACCAAATAGACTTGTAGACATACATGCAGCAATCAGCCATAAGTGAATGACACGGAGACTCACAGCCCCAATGCAATGGTCTGGCAATCAAGTCAGCCAGCCAAGATTTCTTCTAAAGGGGCCCCTGAAGTCCAAAGACACCTCTGTAAGACTAGGGAGAAGCCTCTGCAGCTGCGTATTTAGGAATGCTCACAGACAATGGGCCAGCACAGATGCTAAACTCTTTTTCAACTGGATAGTTCCCTCAAAAGAAAAAGAAAAAAAAAAAAAAAGAAGCAGCAGCGCTAATTGTTAGTGAGAAAAAATTTCAAGCATGGTTAGTGAGATGGGTAAAGCAAATGGAAGTTATGGTTAAAACTGATGGGTTGCTCTTACTCTTCTTAAACAGCAACCAAGGAAAATTATATTTTGATACAATTAAAAAGAGTAAAAGCATTAGTTGTAGGCTAGTATGGTGGTTTAATTATTTTCATCAAATCTGTTTTGATTAGGATGCATGCATGCCAAGGTTAGTTTTGGATACCTGAATTGTTTGTAGTTGTTACAGTTGTTGAATTTCTGCTTTCCACAGAAATCAGTATAACTTCATCAGAGCTGACAAACAAAACAAAAAAATTATTCACCAAAATCAAAATGTTAGAGATGCATGAAAACAGGTCCCCCCTCTTCAAATGTAAGATATCAAGAACTAGCTACAGCACATTTAGAAGTCAAGAAGCTCAGACGGTTGATTTAACAAGAAATCAATTGTATTTTACTGAAGAAAACAAATGCATTTTATAGCACCTTGGCTAGCTGTAAACTCCAAAATAATAGAATATGAATCATTCAAATAAAGAGCTCCCCAAATACCATGACTCAATATCTGATTAGGCAGACACTTTTTAAAATCCCTTCAGCTTGGCATTACAATGTACTGATCTGACAGTTACTATATCTCCATCACATAACAGCAGAGAAGGTAACATACTTCAAAAGTGTTCATGTTCTAAGATCCCATTTTCAAAAAACAACCCTGGTTGTTTCATCTTAGAAAAACTAAGAGATTGTGAAGGCTTCATGCACTTGGAAACATTCAGGGCACACCCTGAGTGTTGTGTAGGAGCAGTGCACACACTGCTCCTTTCAAGGTCATGAACCATGGGAAGTCGCCCAGAGGACATGAACCGTGGGAAGCCTCCCAGGACTGGGCTCAAGGCCTGAGAGCAAGGAATGTAGTAGATAGAAGCTGGTAAATAAGAATATTAATCAAAGTCATATTATTCCTTTTGCTGTTTCCTTTTGCTGTTGGAGTATGTAATGCGCATGGGTAGAAGGAGAATAAAAGAGAGGGTGGAAAGCCGACCCGGCAGACCTTCCCGCTTGCTTGCTAAAAGCTTTGTTTGTCTTGCATTTGAACCACAACAAGATTGGGAAGTCTATCAATTTCTTTATGGCAACGATCACCCTAAACGAATCCACAACAGAATAAATGTGCACATCCACAGAGGTGTGGGTATCTGAAATTTTCTTATCAATTAGAAATTTCTATGTACACTTTGAACCTGTAACCTTCTAGCCCCTAACATTAAAAACAAACAAACAAAAAAATCAAACACTTTATTATCCCAAGGTCCTGACCTATGACATATCAAATATCCACTGATCAAATCCCTTATCTCAAATCCCAGGAACAAGTATAGTACCTAAAACTACTATTAATGTTTTTTTTTTTTCAAATTTACTATGTTTCATGCTGACAGTGTTGCCTGAACACCGGACACCATCCAACAATAAGTAGTTTTATGAAGTTCATATTAAGATCTATATTCACTATGAAATATTTCTTACATTGATATTACAAACAGTAAACAAAATATGACAAGATATATTAATTCAATTTCACTTACTTGATATTTTCACCTCCTGTGATTGGATCAGTACAGAACAATTTCTGGGTCTTCCCCTCCTGCCTGAGAAAGGCAAGCAGGATTGACCAATCAATCAATCTGTAGCATGTTAAAGCCCTCTAAATTCTCTCTTCAAGCCCAATGTTTTGATCCCACCCCAAAAGTGAAGGAAAAAATGCAACTATCTTATCTCCTTAAATCCTACAAACCTCCCTCCAGGAATCAAAATCCTTGGGTGGAGGGGGGTGGTTTCTGTGCTGTACTGATCCAGTCATGGAAAGCAAATTAGCATGTAAGTGGAATTAAGGATTTGCAGTTTATAACCGCATTTATTATAACACAAGCTTTGTGATCTGAAAAGCAATACCCCAGCTAGCACCCTAAGAAAGACTAAGAAGTGAAGAACAAGGAAGCCTTAGGAATGTGGGAGGAGAACTCCATTTCCCATTCACTCCCTTTGAAAGATGTCTAAGTACTGCTCCAATTAAATGCTGCTTCAGCTGACAACACTGTCTAAAAGGTACAGAGAGACCACCACATGATTCCACATCCAGTGATTCTTCCCTTCTGTGTCTAGAAGACAGAACTGTTCTAGTGTAATGGCATGAATCTATATACCAAGGGACCCGGTATGCCCTGACGCAGGATTTATTTGCCAGAGACAAAATTTTGAAACATTTTAGATTCTTCAGACATGATGAAAAGAGACTACCTTCCTGATGTTAACATCTCTAATTAACATGGTGCTTGCAATTATGACGCCAGTAAGAGCTGAACAGGTGATAGCAAAGATGGCATAATTTTTAAAATTTTTACCAGTGGAGACGGGTCCAAAAGGTTAATGGTCTAGAGGGTCAATGATAACCTGCTAGGAATATGAAGGGGAGAAAAAAAAAAAAAAAAAAAAAAGGACTGCCGTAAGAATTCTAGTGGGGATGCTCTCACTGTTTCCATCCATCTATGAAAGGCATTAAAGGCTGATGTTTGTTCCGCCATTAAACGCTACAAGAATCAGATCAACAACTTCCTCTTGGAAGACATAGAAGGTAATTAAAACCTTAAATTAACAGTTCTCTAAATCACTGGTAGAAATCTAGCAGAAACAGCCTGACTGCACTTAGCTTGAGGGAGTTTATAAATAGTCCTTCTCTTCAGAATGCAGCCCCAACACTCACAGCGCCCATCCATTCAGACTTACACCAACTATTCAAAGATTATAAAGCTGAAAGGTACCACTATGATCATCTACTCAGACCTCCTTATAACACAGGATATAGGACTTCCCTGAATTAATTCCTATTTGAACTAGAGCATATCTTGGAGAAAAAACATCTAATCTTGATTTGAAAATTGCCATTGATGCCACCACGACCCTTGTAAATTTTTCCAATCTGTTAATTACCCTCACTGTTAAAAGTCTGCATCTTATTTTCAATCTGAATTTGTTAAGCTTCAACTTGCAGCCATTACATTATGTTATAACATTGTCTGCTAGATCGCAGAGCCCATTATCAAATTTTTGTTCCCTGTGTAGACACTTTTAAGCTTCAAGTCACCCTTAATGTTCTCTCTGATAACTGAAATAGATTGAGATATGTGCATCTTTCACTATAAGACATGTTTTCCAATCCTTTTATCATTCTCGTGGCTCTTCTCTAAACCCTCTCAAATTTACCAACATCTTTCCTGAACCGATGACACCAGAGGTGAACAAAATATTCCACCAGCAGCTGCACCAGTATCAAATTCAGAGGTAATATAATCTCTAAAAAAAGAAAAGGAGTACTTGTGGCACCTTAGAGACTAACAAATTTATTTAAGCATAAGCTTTCGTGAGCTACAGCTCACATCCGATGAAGTGAGCTGTAGCTCACGAAAGGCTTATGCTCAAATAAATTTGTTAGTCTCTAAGGTGTCACAAGTACTCCTTTTCTTTTTGCGGATACAGACTAACACGGCTGCTACTCTGAAACCTGTCAATATAATCTCTGTGCTCTTATTTGAGATTCTCCTGTTCAACATCCAAGGATCATATTAGCCCTTTTAGCCACTGCATCGTAGTGAGAGCTCACATTCAGCTGACCCACCTTATTACTTTGTATCCCCCAGATTAAAAAAACTGCCAGCGTAAAACTACTTTATCCCTAAAAAGGGAAATTAGAGGTTGTTGATTACTCTGCATTAGAGAGATACATTAGGTGGGAAAAAGAGTTCACTGTAGAAGTTGTTAGCATATAGGCCAAGTTTCCTAAAGCTTTATGCAAACTGTGCTAAATGGAACAATGGAAAAATATTAGCAGATAAATCTTATACTGCTTGTAGAGTGAAAATATATCTAAGAGCATGACACATTTTCATAACCTATTTTTATGGCTGCTTAAAGGTATTTTTAACTGCATGTATGGTTGTTAAATAAACATGACTGGCTATGAAATTATAACCAAAATCAAAGAAAGGAGTATAAAGGGAAACACAGACCATCTCACAGGTGCATAGGAGATGCTGACATTATTCTCCAGCTGAACAACCCAAGTGTGTTCCAAACTGCAAAGGGCAAAATTAAATGATTGATTGAGAAGTATTATGCCATTAAAACACATTTTGTTAAGTTTGCCAAAATATGATGAAATTGTTTAAGTACATCAAGCTGAAAAGTTAGGGTGTATTAGTTTATGACTTACTCTAGCTTGCTGACCACAAGATAGATATTTGAAGGTGACTGAATAGTGCTAGGTGCACTAACCTCAACTGTCAAAAGTAGTAAATAAGGTATTAAAAAACCATAAAACAATGACCAATTCGGAACTGTGCAAGCTACAGGCCTGGACCCGTAAATGTATTAATCTGTGTCTGCTGATTAATCTTACACGCCTAATCTTTGATTAATAAAAACTGATTGATCTTGGCTAGTTCATGTGTCACTGATTAATAATCTGAGCTGAACCCATTCTTACAAAGTCATTCTGTAAGTGGCAACTTTGAAGCAGTCTTTGTATTGCTTCAGAGGGCTAAGAAGCCGACTACATTTCCAGAGTAAAGTATGTACAAGAATTAACCGTATGTTTAATTACGTATGTTTAATTAAGTATGTATAAGAATTAATCGTATGCCAATCTAGCACCTTTAGGAAAAGTAAAATTTGAGGAAAAAAAAGTAGAATCTTTCCAAGTAAATGCTTTAAAACTATACATAATATGTGGGTTATATTTATTGAATTTATTTTTTTTGTGTGGTCATTATAGACACCTACCTTACAGGCTCTTCTGCAACACATTCAGAAGTAGAACCAGTTTGTCTATGGGATGATGATGATACATGTTTAACTAAAGAAACTGATCGTCCATTTATATTATCAGGAAGCAGTGGAACAGATTTGGTTCTATTTAGTATCGCATTTTGCGAGTTTGCACCTGGAAGATTTGCCTGAGAAAAAGAAAAAAGGTCACAAAGTCATGGCAAAGTCTGTTCGTGTCCACAACCAGTGCTGAGTTAGTCGGATGTCCTGGATTTCATGCACACCTTGTTTTCAGAGCAACAGATGGCATTTTTTGCCTCTGGGTGATTTGTGCCTTTTTAAACCTTCCCCCGCCTCCATAATTTACATTATATATGTGATCGTTAAACCAGGGCTTATCTTTACAATAACAAGAGATTAACATTTAACGTTAACATGAGATTAACATGAACAGCTAGTAAATGGTCCAAGAGACACTGATAGGAAATTAAAATTAAATAATAAATTAACTTGACTGTCAAATATCTAAACCACACAAAACCTACCAATCCCTTCTTATTGTGTGCGAAATAGTTAGTTCCACCATCTCCAATTTTGAGCTTGAATGAATCTCGAAACTACCCTTCTAGACCAGACATTGAGGGCACGCAGAGACAAACAAAAAACAGAATTACAACCTTCTTCCTGAATACTTCCTGCTCCCTGCCATGGGGACTGGGTGATAATTGTCATCTTATTGTTGGATGATGTCACCTTTCATCACTCTCCAGACCCTGCACACTGTGTTTCAGTAGCTCATACAAGCAAAGCACTCATTTCGTTCCCCAAGCTAAACATTCCGTTGTTTTAAGAGTAGGCACTTAAACATATTCTGGGCCTAAATTCGATTACACAATTGGTTCCTTTAGTTAACTGGAGAAAAAAATCAAGGTCAAATGTAGTAGGGATATAAGCATGGAGTAGCAGCAGACAATTCATCTATCAGGAGCATATAAGAAGTCAGGTTTTCGGTATCCACTACTACCAGTTTTGCTATTTTCCTGCTAGACTCTATTGTTGTGTAGAGTTACTTGTTCTTACACGCACTGAACGTTAAGTCAGTACAGAAACATTACTTCACTGTTCATGCACTTTTCCAATTAACATTATGTTATTTGCACATCCGTGCTTACGCTGTGTTTGAATAGCTGACCTCAGAAAGGTATAGCATCTAATAATAATTTGGTTTGAAAAAGTTATCTTCAGTAACCACTCATAAGTGCCTTACTTGTAAATGATGATTTCCCTCTCTGCCTGAAGAATTTAAAAAATACCAGACTGAGACATGGTGCGACTCACCACTGCAGCACCTCCTCAGTGACACTGCCCTCTGGCTGTGCTACACTCTATGTTCCCCCCTTCTGGGGCGACCTGCAGTCTACTGTCCGGCCACTCCCTTCAGTGGCAAACTGCAGTCTAGCCACTTGCCATGTGGCTCCAGCACCCTCTTTGCCCTTGCATCAGGGTCTCAGTCTGCAGATCCCTGCAGCCTTCCAAGAGCTGCCTTTAGCTCTCTGCCTGCAGCACTGTTCCGTCAAGAGTGCTTGGTGCCCTCTGCCTGCAAGGCAGCCAGTCCTCCTCCCATCTCAAGCTCCAGGGAGTGACTGAAACTGCTCTGTTCTGCAGCCCTTCTTATATGGGCCAGCCCGGCCCTGACTGGCTGTTCCTATAAGCCCTTCTGTGATTGGCTGCCTCCTGCGTAGCCTCCTTAGGGCTGCTTTTAATCCCTTTTCTGCCAGTGTGGAGCAGACGTCCCATCACACAGACATAAAACCAGTTTTACAACACATTAGAATATTTACAACAAGGGTGAGATCTTATATTCAATTTATAAACAATTCTTACTTAAATTAGACTTTTGCATGTGGAAGAAATGTGGACTTGGACCCAGAGCTGGTTTTGGAAACCAGACCTTTTCCTTTTACACAAGCACATTTTCCCTAAAAATGAATGTGATTTCCTAAAAGATGCATTATACAGACAGTCAATATAAAGCAAAGGAAAAAAAGTGTTATTTGCTATTCCCTTCTTTCCAAAGTTTAGCAAAAATCTTCAGCATGACAAACTATTTGTTAAGCATTTGCCACTAAGGACTTTTTTTATTTGTATATTTAATCCGAGTTACATTTTTCTAGAATACCAATGTGTAACAAAAGAGTTTCTGAAACCTTTTCAGAAAAACATAACCAAGAAGCAGAGTAAGATATTTCTGCAGTGAGACCTTTAAACCACGATTTTTAACATTTGTCATTGCATAAAGTATATAAATTTAAGATAAAAAGCCAATTGTTTCATAAAAGAAAAAATAACTATGGCTCAGGTACATTTGACTAGTCCTACAATCTTTACTCAAATCCTTGGGGCAAATCCTCATCTGTTTTAAACTGTCATAGCCCCACTGACGTCAATGAAGCTATGACAATTTACACTAGCTGAAGAGCTTGCACCCTTAATTTTAAAAGCCTGCTAAAGGATCTCAAGCCACCCCTGAAAACAGTCTGAATTAGCATCCCAAGCAGGTTTACACAAAGCTTGGCACTAGTCAAAAATCGTGGGTTTTCTTGGCCAACAAATCTTCAATTTTATGTCATGTCAAGAAATGATGTCCATGAGGAAGCAAAAAGCCCCATACCAGATATTTTCTTAGGCTATCATTCTGGCAGTATCGTATCCAGAGCTCCATGTGAAATGCTTGTGTTTTATTGACTATACTATTGAGGGTCTAAAGTACTCAATCATCTATGGGAAGGGATGTCAGCTGATACCTCAGAGGCTGCTCCTCCTGTCAGAATGGGAGCTGCTTACCTATGACCTCTGAAGCAATACGAAAGAAAAAAATAATTGTATTTTATTCTACTGAAAAACAGAACTTCTCAATGTAACAACTCAGTTGCAAGTAAGTAAAATTCTTTTAACATTTTTTGAGTCCCAGTACCAGGTGTCTGTAGGAGTTTAGGTTTTTCTCTGAGTTGCTATTGTAACACCAATACAATACCATCTTCTCCAAATCTATTTAGTTATGTTTTCATATTGCACGTGTTTAGTATAGATTGTTTATAACTGCCCATGAGCTCATGACTAATTGCAAATAGAATCCCTACGTTGAAGTATTACATATTATACTATACCTTACTAGTGACCATTTTCAATAATATTTTCTTCTGAAATGCTATCACAGTATTAATACGTCTCTCGAGCTTAGACACTTTCTTCTACAAGGAAAGAAAAAAGAGCATCACTTTAAGTGTTAACCTGAAATAGTACACATATTTCCTACTCTGCATATGTGATAAGCACGAGCAAAACACCCCCAAACATCAACTGAGATTTGCGTGCCATAAAATAAAAAGGTAACAAAATGTACAGCCTCCAATTCATTTTTCTATGAACAAACAGAAGTGTAATCTTCATGCCAGTGCAAGCAATTCCAGTGCAAGTTATGCACACAATGTAGGTGCAATTCTGAAAATTTAAGACCTTCCGGAACAAATAAATTCACACTTTTAGGATACGCACAATGCAAAGAAACTTACTAGAAATGTAATAGCTATTTCTTCATGTTTTTTTCGACATTGTGTTTGATCAACTCTTCCATTTAAACTTTCCAGTTTATGGTTAAAGACGTCATTATTTAAAATATCCACACGCTTTTGAATCAAGTGTTTGACCTATAATGGAAAAAAAAGCTACATTTCAAATCTAGAAATCATTCATTGCTGAGGTAATGAAAATATACAAATAAATTAATATTTTTTAATTTTAACTAAGTTTTATTTTTTAAAATGCTTCACCAATGTTCTGTCAATTACAAACGTAATCTGTAAAATTTAGTATTTTTGTGCTTTGGTATTCCCCCTCCCTTACAGCTCACCCAGTCTATTGCAAGTCAACTGTTTGCAAGGACAATCATGCCTTCTGAATCGTAAGAGATATGGTTCATACAATATTAATGATTCTCAATGTGGTGATGGTAACATGTTGTAAATATTTTTCTAGTTCAGTTTGCCATGGTTATAGTTGAATCTTACATGGATCTAGAAGAATGGTTCTCAAATTGTTTTCTTGTACATGCAATAGACCATCATATTTGGGTCATAATAGACTTTTTCCCCCTTTTTGTGGGTTGAGGATCAAAAGTGCTGAAGGGCTGCTCCTGTTGTTGTTGGGTAAGGAGAATTGATACTGCTCAGTGAGTGAAGCTTGTATACCTGGGAAATGAGCCTTTTCCCCACAACTACACTTTTTACATTATATTAGCTTAGATAAGGTCAGGTTTACACTAAAGAGGTTTGCTGGTATGACTATTCTGGTAAACCTTCCTAGTGTAGAAAAAGTTTATACCAGCAAAAAAAATGCTTTTTCTGATACAATTTACAGCTTTTACTAATAAAATACGTTATGCTGGCAAACAACTTTTATACCAGTATAACTGCGTACACAGTAGTGTGTTGCTGGTATAGAAATGTCAAAAAAAAATTACACTGACATTATTATAGTGACAAAAAGTTTCTAGCATAGACTTGGCCTGAGTATGTTACCTGAATAAAGTTTGTGCAGATAGTAAGTCACTATATTTATGTTGACAGATTAAACATTTGTTTTTCTTACTATTACCAAATTGTAAACTCATCAACATCCTAAACACATGCAGTAGTCACAACAGATAAGTGACAATACAGCAGAGAGATTTAAATATCTCCTTGATATTCTATTCCAGGAAAAAAAATACATTAAAATGGGGTTAAAGCTGAGAGCATCCATCTGGCAAAAATCTGTTACTTACAAGTCCGTGCTGATACCAATTTTAGGACTTCATTTTTCTTTAGATGCTATAGTTGCACAACTATCACAGGAAATAGAATAAAGGCTTATGGAAGACTAATTGCCAGAATCACTCCTTTTCTTTAAGATCAGTACTGAATCAGACAGGAAGCATAGTTTCCTGGAAGCCTTTTCCATTTCAGATTTCAAAGCTTAATAGGTAGTGTAACCATAACAAATAAGGTATCTTTGCATCTTCATTTTCCAGTTATAATCATAACAGTTAGAAATGAGAATTCCACCAGCTATGTCTCATGTTATCTAGTTTTTTCAGTTATGTGGAGAAACAAATGTTACATAAAGCTCAAGGTTTTCAAGCTTTTGCCATTAGAAGCAGCTTTCCTTGCTTTCACCATTATGCTACATCACACTAGCAAGGCAAAGTGCTCCTCAGCCAGTTTTCCAGCCACAGCTTTGTTGCTTTCACAAATTAATTTATAAAAAACAACAACATTTTCATTCATATTCTCTCTGTTCTCAGGTTCATACCCCAAAATCTCAGGCACTCACTATTTTTCTTGTGTGTTCTGTACCATTCCTGAAAAGGGTTCAGTTACTCCCAGTCAGCAGAGAGGCAGAACACAAACGTTTGAGGTCATATTTTCACATGTAAAGGTCTAACCATTTCTCCAGCAGGAAGAGAACACTATCCCGTTTCCATTGAAACCAATGGCAGGTTCCTTTTAACTTCAATGATGTAAGATTGTGTCCTGAAATCATATGGTATTTGAAACAGGACAACCCATGAAAATAGCTGCAGTTCAAACCACAGTTTATGATTTTTATCTGTTTTCTTTGAATTTCAGGAGATTGAAAGCGTCAGGTGAAAGTCTGAAATAAGAATTGGGGTGAAATCTTGTCATCACTGAAGTCAATGGGAGTTTTACTACGGATTTCAATGGAACCAGGATTTCACTCGAGGTGTTTAATTGTCAAAATAAATAAATAGGCCTATCATGTTCTGTCTGAGCCACTTAAATTCAAGAGATGACTTCTTCTTGGTGGGAGTCTACAAGAGTTCAAAGTGAGCAACCTAATATATCCTAGGTTCTATGCTTTAAAGCTCTAGCCCACCAAAACCTAGCAGCTAACACGGGCACATTGAACTAAAACAGGAATGAAATAACTCAGATAAAACTTTCAGTTAGCAACTCTAATGGGAATGAAGTCACAGCTCTAATCAATTCTGATCACAATTTTTATCTTCTGGAAGGTAGGACTGTGCCAATTGGTCTAAGATATTTTAACAAGTGAAAGAGGAAATCAGCTATCTGAAGCGTTGTCAGGTTACTCAAGAAGAAGTTAAGTAAACATTGAGTTTAAATGAATGTTACTTCATCTACTAAGACATGCAAAAATTGGGTGTATTTATAAAGTAACCCATTTTATTTGTCTTTTTATGGTAAGGAATAATTTTCAAATCTCCAGACTAATGGAGGAACCAATTTAGAATTACTAAAGTTCTTAGTTTCGTCAAACCAATCTGAATTCTGTCTAGAAATACAATTATTCACATTCATAAAACTTGGCTTAAGTAGTTCAGCACAGCTGACAATTATATCTGAAGTTAACATAAAAAACTACTTTCAACAGGAGAATAACTAAAACATTTAATGCATGAAAGATTTCAGCTTTAAGCATGTAAAATAAAGCAAGTTACCTTTCCCAAAAAATTTTCCTCTTTTTCTGACACTGTACAAATATTCTCTTTTTTGTTTTCATCAGAAGTTTTGAAGCGTTTACAGTGACTGTCTTCCTTGCTTTCTGAACATATCCTCTTCCTTTGAGCATTGTCTTAGAGAAAAAAATGACAGACATTTACCTCACAAATTAATTTTCTTAAAAGTGCTATGTGAAGAAACAAACTTATAATTAATGCCTTGGTAAAGTATAGGGTCATTCAAAGCAGAGGTTAAATTTGTAAATGTGGTTCTATTCCTTAATTACATTACACCATAGTTTGGTCTTGGCATCAAGTGGGAAGAAGAGTCTTACTACTTTTTTGTGGGAGTGAGGGGGAAACCATGAGCCCAAGTAAAATGGAAAAGACAAGGTCACTGACAGGGTGCCAATCAGCCACATTTCCATAGCCAAGTGCTAAGATCATTTTTAATTCTCAGGATGCCTTGCACTGGGACAACTGCCAAGAACTGGCTACATCTCCCTTTCCCCAGTAGTGATAACATGCCGTCTGCTACTCCCTAGAGACAAACAATTGAGAGAGAAGAATATGCTTCTCCTACTGCCACAGAAAATAGGTAGATAAGGGCCACTTCAGGTGACCAAAGGCTTTTCCCCTGCATTACCTTAGATAAGTGACAGACAGCCTGTTAGCCGTGTTGGTCCCAGAATATTAGGGAGACAAGATGGATGAGGTAATATCTTTTTATTGGACCAACTTTTGCTGATGACAGAGACAAGCTTCCAAACTTACACATAGCTCTTCTTCAGGCCTAAGAAACTTACTCAGGCATGGCTACACTGGAAACTTCAAAGCGCTGTCATGGCAGTGCTTTGAAGTGCGACTGTGGTTGCGCGCGAGCACTGGGAGAGAGCTCTCCCAGCGCTCCTGGTAATCCACCTCCACGAGGGGATTACCTCCGAGCGCCGGGAGCACGGCTCCCAGCGCTCGGAGCCTGTTTACACTAGTGCTTTAAAGCGCTCTGACTTGCTGCGCTCAGGGGGTGATTTTTCACACCCCTGAGCCAGCAGGTGAGAGCGCTATAAAATGTAAGTGTAGCCAAGCCCTCAGTGTCACAGCTAAATCCATGATGGAACAGACTGTTTAGTGTAAGTAGTTAACACATATTTCAAGGGACCATTCAAGGTGAAGTGGTCCATTAACACCCCTTTAGTCACAGTGAGGAAATGGGGGGGGGGGAGAAGAGGAAGGAGTTGGGAGGTTGTTAGTGGGTTATAACAATCTATAAACTCTCTATTTTTGTTTTTCCCAGGGTAAACAAGACTCTCTAACCATGTTTGTAGACCAGCCAAACAAGTTACTTCATCCTCCCAGCTGTTTGTTTAGTACCCTATAGAGTGTACTGCCCAATAGGTTATTATTAATTCTGCTCTGTGTAGTGTCCTCCAACCACCTTACAATTGCTGAAGCACTTTCAGACAAATGCCCAAAGTTTCGCAGAATGCACCTATGCGAACATGGCAAAGCAATGAGCTAGATGCAGATGTACAAACAAGACTGTGATGACAGAAAAGTTGCTATGTGGATACAAAACTAAGCCGTGTTATTTGTAACCAGTTAAGAGGACAATGCCCCTAACTGTCCTCTTAATTGGTTGCCAAAAAAAAAAAAAAAAAAATGGCAGCTGTGGAAGTGGATTTATTTTCACCTGAAAAAAATCTCCAAATAAGGATCACATAAAAATGTTCAGTGGACGATGATAGAGGATCTAATATTGATGGCCATAGGCCTGAGGGAATCTTGAGCACAGTCAGTAGGAGTCATTATAGTTGTGGAACAACTGTTAAGCTGTTCTAGGAATTCCATCAGTTGCCTATTCTGTACAAGCCCCAGAGATCCAAGCACCAAAGCCAACAGTTCATTAGTCTTCTTTATTCAAAAATTCTGCACAGGGCACTCTAACACAATCGGGGTTTAGTCACAATTAGCTGACAATACTTCAACACCATTTATCCTGGTCTGTGTGTTCAGCATCATGTCAGCTAACATGGTTGCTGACAAACATGTTCAGACATGGTAACATTTCATCGTATAGGCCAGACCCAAGCAGACAGAGTCAACTGGAAATGATATAGTAAAACTGTTTGGCCACGAGAGGCAAAGTGCAGCTTGCAAAAGTTTAAAACAAAAAATAAAATAAAAAGAAAAGAGGTGCCTATGAAGTTGATTAGGCAGGATCACTTAACAGTTGGAAGCAGTCAAATTTATAGCTCATTAGAAGAAGAGAGTGCTTACCAATACTATATTCAGGTGATGTATCCTGCAGCATAACAGTAGCTTCCACATCTGGTAAAGTATTTGGACTACCATTTCCATGGGATGTTTTACTCTCTAAAACATCAGCTATTCTATCTATCCCAGGCAGTATGGGGGAAACTGAATGAGTAAGGTTATATTTGTGCTTCACATCATTTGAATCAGATATGGTGTCTACCTTCTTTAATGTGGGAATAACCTCTTCTATTGCACTCTCTCTTTCTGTTGTTGTGTCTATCTTCTCTAAAATAGGAATAATCTTGTTAGTTCTTTTTTCATCCCAATAATCACTGTTAACTGGATCTTCTAAACAAGCATTCTCTTTTAACTGGTCAATAGGTAGGTTATTTGGTTTTGAATACAAATGCACTTCAATTGGCTTGGAGGATGGTGTATTTAGTTCATTTTCATACCATTTATGCAGTATATCTTGTAAACACCCAGCATTTAGAAACTGTTTTGCATCAGAGTTTGTGTTACAAGATTTCTCATGGGGAGGCTCTTGGGATTCTTCTTGACAGTTTTGATCAAAATTTTTGTCAAAAGAACATTGTTTTACTTCTTCATTTACTTTTGAATTAACACTGAACCCCTGTATTGAGGCTGTTAATTTTTGAGGTAACATTTCACTTTTTTCAGGGAACGTATCTGTTTTTGATTCAGTTAGTGAGCTTCCTTTTACAGAATCATTACTTCTGCAGTTTATGTCCACAGTATTTAACTGAACGTGGTGAACCTCAGTATGCAAGCCGTTTAGAATCTTTTCTTGTCCTGAAATACTCTTTATTTTACTCAGCATTTCCACTTGTTTTCGACTACTTGGAGTCATTGTTTTTCTTGCTCTCAAAGGCTTGTGGATGATTGTATTTGAACTCTCCATCTTTCATGCCTTAAAATAAGAAAAACAAAAAACAATTTTAAAAAACAAGAATCAATCCTCTATCCAATGTCAACCTGAAGCCACTGGGAGACTTCTGGCAGTTCCAGCAGTAAGCACAATAGCCACCTCTACAGTACTGTTCATATTTGGTGCAAAGGAACTATCTCCCAGCTCTTTCAACATCTAAATGAAATGAGAAGCTAGATGAAAAGCAGCAGGCTATACTTAAACCCAGGTAAGTCCACAGTGATGCTAGCAGGAAGAGAGAAGTGCTTTGAAGAATGTGACTCTCTGCAACATCCCCCATTATGAAGGCCATCTGCCCCCAGATTTTTAAATCAGTCCACAAGCTATGATTTCTTTTGTACTCTTCAATGCTAGTGGATGCCCAAACAGCTGCACTGGCAAAAAGTATATTTCCATCTGTAAGTGGTTGGGAATTTTTATCCCATCCTATTGGATGCAGCCACGGCCACGTTGATCCATACAGTCAGAACCTCCAGGCTTAAATACTCAGTGCATGCCCTGCAGCACAGACCTCTCTGAACAAGTTCCTATGCTTCAATCTCTTAACTGGCTGCCCACCGAATATAGTCTAGTTCAACGTCTCTGACCTGATATTCAAAGCCATCCACAAAATTGGCCCGACCTATCCAAAATATCACTTCTCCCTCCTTGACTATGGACCTCCCAGGACAGTTACATTTCCTTGAAGCAATGGAACTGTGAGCCTCGTGAGCTTGACACACAGAATTTCATGGGAATATGACCTTCCTAGATGATGGAATTCAATTCCACAGATTACAGCAACCACAGGTGTCATTTCATTTTATGAACAAAACAACTAATTTCTTATATTCACTTTCATTTAATAAGTTTTTCACTCTTTCCTTCATCATACTCGCTTGCACACAAATCTAAAAATCTTTTAAAATAACCACTTTTCTCCTATAATTGGAAAGGGAAAAAAGACTTATTTATATATTTAATATATACCTTGCTATCATATGCCACTCAATCTAGAATGGTAGTATCACTTCAAACCCAGGTTTAAATCAATATCTTTAAACATTTTCAAAATCATAAATTATGTACTCTGCTTTCAGAATAAAAGTTTTTAGAAATTGATCCTAAGATCCTACTCATTTCTTTTATGATTGTTTGTTGGAAAAAAGTTCAGACCTCCCACAACAAATGTGCACAAAGTCAGTAATTGACTTTTGTTATACAGAGCAGCTACAAAATCTGTCAGTCCCCACGTTAAAAGAAAAGCTCAATTTCCCTGTCCTATGCAACCAATAAGGCATTACCTGCCTCCAAACCCAGAAAGTCCTATGCCGATACCTACAGCCCATCAGATGAGATGCCTTATCACCAACATTCACTTTTCTGCTTTTATGTCACTGAAAACATGCTAGCCAAGTCTGCTGAAAATTAACAATTAGCTACTTAGACCACAGCTGAGATGATCTTGATCATAATATGGAGTGAAGTTTAGAGTCATACTGAGCCCAATTCCATTGTCCCTATTCTGTTGATCTACAGCAGACTGGGAAACACCCAGAGTTTTGGATTGATGAGATGTGCCAAACACTACTAGGAAAAGAATTAAGGCACTAGAGGTTTAGATCCATACACCAGTACAATAATTGTGGCTTGAGGAAAGAAGAAGAAAAAGAAAAAGAAAAAAAGCCTTCATCACTTCTGTGATGAAGAGACAATTTTTGGGACAAAAAACAATGCAGCCCTCTCACTGACAAATCTGCAAGTCTATTTAAGACCAAAGAGACACAGCCACTACTGGAGGTAGAGGACAGTGACACCAGTCATGATGTTGATCACGTTATCAAAGATCAGTAATAGATTTTTTTTAAAAGATTTAAAATTACTTAGTAATTAAAGAGACCTCAGATAACTCAGCTTAATAGAGTTTAACAAACAATTGCCAGTCAGCAAATAACAAAAAGATAAAGATGTGTAGAACTGAGCATTCAGCCAATGACTGTTTGATTCTGATGCTGCCTGGTTATTATAAGCATATTAAGCTGTAAGTAAATACTAGAGTTGTTCAGTTTCATTCTCATTATTTCCTCTTTTTCCATACAGTCATCTCTTATTTTTGGTATATTTTATGGTTTTCGATTACATAATCAAACATCTGTTATTTACCCATGTCTTATGTCTTTTTGGCAGGTACATCATATTTTGCTAACTTAAGGATTGGTTACTTCTTGTGGTTACTATATCACTAGAAGTATTAACAATTCTTGCTAAGGTTCTATCCTTTTGGTAATTCTAACAAGCTAATATTTTTCTTCTTCTTAGCATAACTGCAGAGCATTATGGAGTCTGTCTAACAGACAACCTACAAGGCCTTCACATCAGGCTTATAGGCCAACAGTCTCAGCCTTGTAACTTTAAATTTATTTATGGTGACAATTAATTATGAGCAAAGAAGCTATAAGTAAGGCATCCATGACTAAATTTCTAACATTATTAAAGTCATATAAAGGTAGCAAATAAAGCATCATAGGGACAACAATTAAGAGGCGCAATCATGGGATAGGAACTATTTGCACAAAGTTGTTGGTTCAATTTTGATTACTGATCAACAAGACATCAAACACAATTGAACTTAGTTATCAGTCAGACAGACCAGCACAAACAGAAAGGTAAAAGTTAATATATCACCAACCTGGGGAAACAGGTTGCAGCTTCACTTCTGTTCCAGCTTTTTCCTCTCTCTAAGCAGGGTTTCTGTACCACCTTTTTTACAGTATTTTACTTGCTGCACTTACATTATCAATTCATACACTGTAAAATGTGAAGGTAATATTTCCTATTTGCCAGCAAGATGATTCATGTCTGCAGCATATTTCCATTTATACATGATACAAAGCTCATTTGTGAGTAATTTTTCATGAGCTCTCTTAGCATAACTACACAAAGCTTTCCGGAAGTCTGGTTCAGGTTTGGTACCTATCTTAGTTCCCTCAATTATGTTGTTTACTATAAATCAAACTTCTTATTTCTTCCTTGTGGTTTTGTTTACAGTTTCATAATTTGTTATTTAGGTAGCAGAACCAAAACACATTTTACCTAACAAGCACATTTCTTATTTGTTAGCACGTATGCAGCTAAAATCTACCTTATTTAGTCATAAATTTAAGTCAAGAAAGTGAGTCATGCCCTGGATATATTAGCATTTCTTCTATGGTCTATCTTACATAGCCTTTTGACATGATACGTCACATATTTCTTCTAGATTCTCCTCTTGACATGATCACAAAAGGTTTGAATATACGGCAACAAAGTTTTGTTTTGAATTATTATAATTTCTTGGAAAAAAAATGAATTTTTAAAAAGTATTTAACTCACAGCATGGATGCTACCATTACTGTTAGTGCTATCATTCATTTTTCTGGACATTATGCATATTTAAAGTAGTAAAATATTACTCCCAGTCCTGACCCTTAACTATATTCTCTTTTGCAATTAATCTCCCATTTCTGTCAACCACTGAGAAAAGGGGCTGTTATTAGCATTAATGTGAGGGCAGAAGAAACTTCTTAAGAGCAATAGGGGCTTCAGTTGCCTAGGAACTAATAAAACTAATCACTGTCTCAAATCAATCCCCACTGGCAGACACGATCAGAAATGGTATTTAACAGACTATAGTACTTATTTAATCTTTCCCCAATCATCTGCTGGCCAGGGGCAAATTTCTCTAAAACCCAAGTGCTGTTTGACAAGCAAGTTTTCCAGATGGCTCTTCCTTTCCTATTTGTCACTTGGAAATGAACTGTCTAATCCCACTATCACCACCACTCCCATAACCGCATTGGTCGTTGGGTCACCATAATTGATGAGCAAGCAACCAATGGTCTCCACCCCGACAATTGTGTCAGTGCTTGAGCCTCCATAAAGTGTCCATTCCTGTCCACTCTTATGTTGTCAATCCATCTCTTCTTCCGGCTACCTCTTCTTCTCATCCCATGTGCTGTCCCTTGAAGGATAATCTTGGATAGGCCAGATGATCTTGTTACAAGGCCATAGCACTTCAACTTGCACTTCTTCCCAGTCATCAGGTGGTCTTCTGTAACATCGTCACGCAACGTGCTGGATTATATGACATCTTCATCAGTGACGTGGTCTAAGTAGGCGATGCCCAGGACTTTATGGAAGTATTTCATCTCTACTACCTGTATTTTCTGTTCAAGGTCTGCCATAAGGGTCCACATCTCGCACGCATATAGAAAAAGAAATGACCAATGCGTGCAGCAGTTTCAGTATGGATTCCAGGGAGATGTTCTTGTTCCTCTAAATTGGCTTTAGTTTTGCCACTGTTGCAGTTCTTGCCAGAAATTCAGCCTTTGATCCTTCATCAGTGATGACTGCCCCCAAATACTTGAACTGTTTCACTGTCTCCAGCTCTTGTCCATTGACAGTGATATATGAGCTGATCCGGTCATGTTTGTTTGTCATCAACTTGGTTTTCTCTGCACTGACTTCCATGCCATATTTTGGGGAGGTTTCATCCAATTGTTTCACAAGGTTGGCAAGTTCATCTTCACTACCTGCCAGGCCATCAATGTCATCAGCAAACCGAAGATTTGAAATTGTTTGCCCCCCAGTGCTGACGGTGCAAATGTGATCTTCTGGGGCATTATGCATTCCAAGTAGATGTTCAACAGTATGGCAGTGGAAAGAAGGCAGCCTTGCCGGACTCCAACAGTCGCGTGAAACCACTCTCCTCTTGTGCTATTAATGAGAGCTGCACTGCTGGCCTTGGCATACAGTTGTTTAAATAGTAAGAAGAAGCTTATGACCAACATTGTACTTCTTCATGGTTGCCCAGAGAGCTTCGTGCCATACTCTGTCAAATGCCGTCTTGAAGTCAAACAAAGACGTGGTAGATGTCCTGCTGGTGTTGTAAGTACTTCTCACATAGAACACGAAGACTGAAAATCTGTTCTGTGATACTTCTTCCAGCACGAAAGCCAGCCTGT